ACTTTATCAAACTCAGACTTTGTACAGCTAAATTCAAGATGTAAAATTATGAATTCAGTCGAGCTCTTCCGTCCCTCCCTCTCCTGCTCTCCTGGAAACCCGACATCGGCTGGGAGGTGAAAAAGGAGATGAGGCAAACAGAGTGAGTGCGACGTAAAGAAACCAGACTGGTGTGGAGGTGAGCAAAACAGCTGGAAAAGTGTGGGTGTTGAATCCCCCACGGGTGCGATGCCCCCGGCTGCTGTCACCTGTTGTGAGCAGCGCTCTGCTGTCTGAGGGTAGGCCCCGCCCGCAACGCTGCGGCTGCTGTGTTTTCTTTACCGTGGGAAATGGGTAATAATGGCTCTTTGATGGGAACAGGTTACCGACCCCTGGTATAAGATCTGAGCAGGTAAAACAAAAATCCTCATCAGCAGGCTTTTTTGAAAGTGGGGGGGGGGGGGGGGGGGGGGACACAGCTGCCGATCACGAATTTTGCCGGGGACATGTCCCCGGCGTCCCCGGTTAAAATGACGCCTATGCTTATCACCATCAGTGTGTGAATGTGTGTGAATGGATGAATGATACACTGTAGTGTAAAGCACTTTGGAGTCCTTACTCTGAGAGGCGCTATACAAGTGCGGATCATTTATCATTTATAGTGTTGATCAGGCAGAGTTTTGTTGCCAGCGTTCCACTGCATAATGGCTTCAAACACGTATATAAAAGTTAGTTTTTACGTGAACCATTGGAGGAAATTACACAAACTGACTGAGCTCTAGTTAAGGCGCTTGCAATAGTTTGTGTATGTGTATGTGCGTGTGTGTGTGTGTGTGTGTGTGTGTGTGTGTGTGTGTGTGTGTGTGTGTGTGTGTGTGTGTGTGCGTGCATGCATGTGTTTGGGGGAGGGTACATTGGAACTTTGTCCCCCCCAGTTTGAATATCCTATCTGCGGCCCTGGCCGTACCATCTCGGACTTTGTATACGAGTGTTAGCAATTTGAATTTGATGCGTGCTGCTAGCGGTAGCCAGTGGAGCTCAATGAACAGAGGGGTGACGTGTGCTCTTTTTGGCTGATTGAAGACCAGACGCGCCGCTGCGTTCTGGACCATTTGAAGAGGTCTCACAGTACAGCCTGGAAGGCCAGTTAGAAGGGCATTGCAGTAATCGAGGCGGGAGATGACAGTAGATTGCACCAGGAGCTGGGTGGCATGTTGTGTTAGGTATGGTCTGATCTTTCGTATGTTATACAGCGCAAAGCGGCATAAACGAGCAACAGAGGCAACATGATCTTTAAAGCTCAGGTGTTCATCAATCACAACACCCAGATTTTGAACTGCCTTTGAAGGAGTCAGAGATAGGAAGTCATTCTGGATTGAGATATTGTGCTGAATGGATGGTTTTGCTGGGATGACAAGTAGTTCAGTTTTAGAGAGGTTGAGTTGGAGATGGTGGGATTTCATCCATTTTGATATGTCAGAGAGACAGTTTGATATTCGTGCAGAGACAGTGTGGTCGTCCGGTGGAAATGACAGATAGAGCTGGGTGTCGTCTGCATAGCAGTGGTAGGAGAAGCCATGTGATCGAATGATCTCACCCAGTGAGGTGGTGTATATGGCAAAGAGAAGAGGTCCTAGTACTGATCCCTGGGGGACTCCTGTGGCAAGATGGTGCACGGTAGAGGATTATCCAAGCCAAGATACACTGAATGATCGTCCTGTGAGGTACGATTCAAACCAGGCGTGTGCTTTCTCTGTGATGCCCACGCTAGAGAGTGTGGACAAAAGGAAGCCATGGTTGACAGTGTCAAATGCTGCCGATAAGTTGAGCAGGATACTGAGGATCTTTATGATGTTATGACATTATTGTTTGTTTTGTTTTTGTTTTGGTTTGGTCATTGTGTGGCACTTTCTGTCTGTGATGAGTACTATATAAATAAAATTTACTTACTTACTTACAGTTATGGTTAAATCCTTGATTGCTATATATCATTGGAAACACAATAATCCTAGCTTTCAAATTATGTGTAATATGTATATGTATGTAGAACAAGTGTTGCAAAAAAGATGCAGAATTTACACAGAAGTTTGCAATGTCCCATCTGTGAGACTTATTCATATAGGCATACAAAAACATCGCTCATGAAAAATGTTCGGGAAAGTACATTACCTATCACAGATGGTCGAATAATTCTTCCAATCACCCAACCTTAAAACTCACACATCAATAATGGTGGTTATTAGTTGCGTGTTACGCAAAGTTTCCTTGTTTAGCAGAAAGCCTGGGTTATCATTCTTTAAAGATATCGGCTAGAGGCAAATTTCCTTTGAATGGCGTGTGTAAAGAAGTATTAAAACCTCAGAAGAAAAAGGTTTTGGGATTTTCACGACTGGAATTTCAAGAAAATCTGATGTTTGTGACTGGCGCGGGAAAAACAGAAACTAACTTCCGGTCTAAGCCCTGAGCAGTTGGTGACGTTCCACAAGGAGCTCTGCTGAAACAGCTGTAGTAAACAACGCTGGACTCTGGTGTTTCTGCGTTAGCGTTATAGCAGAGAACAATGTGTCATCAGTCAGATGTAGCTTCTGAAGCCTCTGCTAGTCAGTCAGATAAGGATTTTCTCTGGGATACCGCGACAAGAACGGATATTGGATTACCGTAGACGTTCAACCGAACTCCGATCCCGCTAGCTGAATATCACTACAGGAGGTGCAGACATGTTTTAGACCAGGGGTGTCAAACATTTTTTTTTTTCAAATTTTCAAGTACATTTCAGGTGTTGTACTTGTACTACACTGTCCTCAGGCTCCAGTCTTTTTTATATTGATTGTATTAAAACAAAGAAAACAATCTAAAGTTTTTTTTAATTTACCGGTCCGGCCCACTTGGGACTAGATTTCCCTCAATGTGGCCCCTGAGCTAAAATGAGTTCGACACCCCTGTTTTAGACCATTTGACTCGGAAGACCCGTGACCCGATTTGAACATCGAGGTGGATTCTGTTCATCTTCACAACCAAAATCGGTACAGTCTGTTTAGGGCGACGGTGGCACAGGAGCTAAGTGCTCGCCTCGTAATAGGAAGGTTGCAGGTTCGAGCCCCGCTCAGTCTGTCACTGTTGTTGTGTCCTTGGGCAAGACACTGAACCCACGTTGCCTGCTGGTGGTGGTCGGAGGGACCGGTGGCGCCAGTGCTCGGCAGCCTCGCCTCTGTCAGTGCGCCCCAGGGCAGCTGTGGCTACATTGTAGCTCATCACCATCAGTGAGTGAATGTGTGTGTGAATGGGTGAATGACTGATTGTGTTGTAAAGCGCCTTGGGGGATTCCAGGACTCTAGAAGGCACCATATCAGATACAGGCCATTTACCATTTACTTTTGTTAAATATTTCATTTCTGTGCTCCACCAGGAGCTCTAAGCTGACAAGTTCTCAGCTGCTCTTAGCTCCATCATGTGTCCCATTATAATTCAGTAACCTATAGATATGTGTACTGCCAGTTTTACCGCTCCCTGTATATATTGATGTGACTCCAGAAAATATATAACTAATAGCTCACCAGAATACATCTTCCTGATGCTGGAGTAACTCCTTAGTTTGACTCGTTTGCACTAATCCAGGATGGCACGGAAGTTCTACTGGTCCATGGAGGATCTATTGTTGATATGGGGATTATCTTTTAGATTATATCTGTGTGTGTGTTGTAGCTTTCCCAAATGACTTGTTTTATTCCTTATCGGAGCTAACACAGTTAACAGTTTTGCTGCAGTCATGCTAACAGGAGTCTGAGTCCAGAAGTACCGGTGCGGTTCTAGTTGGTTTTATAGATGTAGGTTATTATTTTAGATCAGACCTATGTTATTTAAAAATGCATGTAGGACACGGGCATATGGCTCAGACCTTTTGCTGCAGCTGTAAATGCAATTTTCCGTGATAATTAAGAGCACAAACTTAATAGTGATGTGTCGGTCGCGAACGAACTGGCTCTAAGAGCCGGCTCTTTGAAGTGAACGACGGGAGCCGGCTCGTCATTGGGAGCCGTCCCCTCCCCTCCCCCCCTCCCCTCTTGCTTTGGTGAAAGCTACAGGCGATTGGTCATCATGTGTAACTGCGTGTCCACACTGTCCACACGCAGAGCAGTAGGGGTGGGGAAGAGGGAGGATCAGACTCAGACACACAGCAGAGCACATGCGGGTGGAGGGAGACCAGAGGGAATGAGGAGGAAAAAGGAGAGCGAGAGAGGAGAGTGCGACAAAGACGGTGAGAAAATGAGAGCCAGCAGTCGGAAGGTGGAGATTTCTGAAAGTGTTCAGTTATTAAATCCATAGAAATTATAAATATTTGATATATTGCATTTTTTGACATTAGTCAACAATTTTACATATAGTTTTGCATTATTTTGGTTATAAATGTACTCTACGCAACAGAAAATCTGAGGAGCCACTTGGGTGCCGGCTCTTTTTGGTGAGCTGAGCCAAAAGAACCGGCTCTCTAAAAAGAGCTGTAATTCCCATCACTAGAACTTAAACAAAATACAGTTATTCACAATCCTCAGCTACCTTGTTTTACGTGTTGGAGTGATGTAGGCGGAACACAGTTCTTCTCTGGAAGAGAGGATTTTGATTTTCTGTAATGATTTATGACAAAATTCCTTAACAAAATGAAAAACTGAACCCAGTTCATATTTATATAGATGGTAAAGTGTAGTTATACTGAATTTCTACAATTTTAATGCCGAGTCTGGCCAATAACTTTAAAATGACAGCGGATAGGGAGCCCAAGTCTCCCTTTCCGGTCGACTCATGGGTCCCCAGAAGAACGGAAAAAACGAATGCAAGTCAACGGGGCTAAAAGAAAAATGTTCTAATCCGCTTTGCCTTATGCCCTGAATCGCACATGTACTTCAATTTAAATGAAGGGTTATGATGTGTGTTTCAACCACACCTGTCACATACTTTGAGATTGATCAGCTTGTAAAAGTTCATAATTAGCATGACTACAAATCGGACGTTTACACTTCGCATGTACTGACTTGAATTCATTTTTTCGTTCTTCCGGAAATCCATGGTCCGGAAGTAGATAGGCTCCCTATTGGCGGGTGAGAACAGCACGAGACTCAGGATTCTGCATCAGCTCTGAAACTCCAAATCTGTGCATCTTTAGTGAAAACTAGTGCACAAAAAGGGATGCCGGACTACTGATAAGGTTGAACTAAACCTTTATCTACAGCTATAAATGACACATGTACAAATACAAAAGAAAAGAGAGAAGAGCCTTTTCCTGCCAGTGGTAATCCTGTTTATTAGCAGCTCTGGACTGAACTGCACGGCGAGAGCCGTGAGGGGAGGGGGTGAGAGAGAGGAGAGCTGCATAGTTACCCCGAGCAGCTCGGCTCGGCAGCCTCATTCCTCCACAGTTACAGGAGCTCTCATGAGCCGCCACCATGCCAGCCTGCTCTCCTGTTACCGCATGTTAAGTGAGAAACTCCACGTTGGGTCTTCTGCAAGTTGTCTTCTTCCTCGTATATTTACACCGCCTCCGTGTTTTCTTTTTCTCCCTCCAGGCTGTTATGAAGAAAAAGGTGACAGCAGCAAGTTGATTCCTGCGCGAGTTTTCACCAAAACAAGAGCGGTCTGCGCAGGGGGCGCTAATTAGCTCCGGTAATTAGCTAAGCGGCTCGGGCGAGAGGATGGCCCTTCAGCCGGAGAACGGGAGCCTCTCCGTGGGCTGCGGGGAGCTGGGCAACACCAGCCTGGAAGTTAGCGACTACAACATCAGCTGCAGCAACACCTCCGTCCTCCCCAGCCAGGCTTTCGGAGTCCGAGGTAAAACCGCCGCTTACTTCTATTTCTGTTAAATAAGTAGAGTACAACTTATACATTTATCATGTTTTTTTAATTATACAAATAACAGTTTTCCTACTACGTGTTTATTTTAATCGCTCGTTTGTTTCTATTTTAGCTCTTGTAACTTTTTTTACTCACTATACATCAGTTTAAGGACAGCCCTTCAAAATAAAAGCCCCCCAAACTAAATTACCAATTATGACTGATCACCTCATTAAAATATAATCAGTAAAAATGGCAGAATTTAATCTCAGCTATTAAACTGGGTGGTGTAAACAAAACAACAAAATAAAGCCTTTTTAATGCCACTGTGCCAGTGGCGTGTCCAGATCTTTTAAAATGGGGTGGCCCAGGTGAGGCACAACTTTGTGCATGGGTGGCACCAATGGTTATGCTTTTTTTGTTTTACCCCCAAGCCTTTTGTGGACAATGAAAAGCCTATTTAAAGGTAAATTAGTGTGGTGGCACCTGGGGTGGCCAATAAGATTCCAAGGGTGGCATGTGCTACCCCAGGCCACTGTGCTTTTTTTATACATGGAAGAATGATTTGCAGCCATGCTTGTGTTAATCAACTTCCTCAGCTCCCTCTGTACTCCATAAATCACCAAGCAGACATATTTACAGCTTCTTCCCTGAGTGATGCAGCAACCAGAGAAAACAACAAGCACGGGATGTGAAAACTGTTTAATTCTGAGTGTTTGTTTTGGTTGCTTCTAATTCTGAGGCGCTAAAGGAGATTAAACCCTGCTCCAGAACAGATAAGGCCCCCCTGAGTCCACTATCAGGACACCAGTTGAACGCATAGGCAGACTTGGTAATGAGGTTTGAACATGGGTGAAATTTTATTTTTAATATTTCTACACTGTCTCGACTGCAGTAGTGGGAAAAAAAGAATTAGTCATTCCCCATAAATAATTCAGTCATTCTCTCCTCTCGGTTCCTCTAGACCTAATATATCAGTGAGGAGGGGGTGAACATCAGCAGCAGTGTGAGCTCATTCTGTTGGGGTGTATTAGGTGTTTGATCAGAACTGCAGTCAAACGCTGCCTCCATTTCCTCTAAATGTATTTGAGCCTTCCTCACCAGAGACCTGCTGTCTCTGCAGGTCGATGGGGAACCTGAATATGCATGTTTGTTGTTGCTCTCAGGGGTTATGACAGGAAATTAAAACCCTGCCCTCACCACCACATGTGGAATCACACATTGTGCGATGTGTTGAACTGGAGATTAGGGTCTTTTTTTGCAGGGCTGAGCTTCTGAGGCAGTAGAAATTTACTTTTGGTTATGTGATTCACTTCTCGTAGAAGAGAAACAGATAAAACTGGTGTAAAAATGTGAGAAATAACTAGAGAAATGCTCTTTATGATGCCTCAGTGCGAGGAGCAGTAACAAGCTTGAAATAGTTGATAATGTTTCAAAATCTATAATTTGAGATGCACCGATTCTGGTTTCGCGGGGCCAATTTCTGATTCCTGATTTTTGCTCAACTCTAGCTGGATGATAATAAAAATTGGGCCGATTTCTCAAAAAAAAAAAATCCTTCTTAGCTTCAAAATGATCAATTAAGAAGTTAAAACTTGAATATGGAAGGTATTATGGATGTGTATAGGTAAAATTCTGGCGATAATATGTATCACAATACAGGGAGATGATACGATATATCACAATATTTTGCGATACATTCAGGCAGACGTTTTTATGGAGCTAGGATTGCGACAATATTCAGCGTAACTTGTACCAAGTTTTGTAACTTTGAACATGTTTCATCACATGTAACTTTGGATTCGTAACTTGTAACTTTGGATTTCTAACTTGTAATTCTCAATTCGTACTTGTATTTCTTGTTTTATAACAGGAACATTGTATTTTGTACATGTATTTTTTATTTTGTAAAATCAAACTTTTATTTTGTACATTTACTAATCATTTTGTAACATCAAACATTCATTCAGAAACATGAAACTTTTGTTTTGTAACTAGCAGACTTCCATATTGAAAAAATCAAAGTACAAGTTTGAAATCAAAACTCTCAAAACACACATTTCATTCTACAGGTACAAACCTCAAATCTACAGTTACGGATCTTTTTGTCTCGATTCTAGCGTCAGTGTAATCCTTTCATACTCAGTTTTTTAATACCAATATAATATTGCAGGACAAAATATTGCGATATATTGCCATATCGATATTTTCTTACATCCCTAGCTAGTATGTATGTACTGTCTCATAATTATGACTTAGCTATCTCATAATTATGAGATACTATCTCAGAATTATGACTTAGCTATCTCATAATTATGAGATACTATCTCAGAATTATGACTTAGCTAAGTCATAATAATGAGATAGTATCTCATAATACTGAGATACTGTCTTATTATTATGACTTAGTATCTCATAATTATGACTTTCTTATGACAGAAGCACAACATTTTTTAGAGTTCTTTTTTTTCCATTACTTGTTCTACTCTTCTATTTTAATATGAGTAAAGTGAAGTTAATCATCAATGTTTGTCTCTCTTTAAATGCAGTTGTACTCTAACAAATATTCTGTGTAAACACAAATGCACATGCAGAGGGTCCCAGTCTTTAATGAGAGAGTGACAGTTGTGGGAGAGAAGGGTTGTCTTTGTGTGGACGCGTCCTGGGGGCCGTCCTCACTGGTAGTTGGTAAGATAGCCCGCTTCCCTCCTGCACCGAACCAAACATGGACTCACCAGAGACAGCCATGGTTGTGATCACCGAAGCCTCATCTGCACCAAGTCCGTGGTACGCCTCCTGCACCTTCAGAACAAAGCTGTCTGTCATCCCCATTTTGTGCCGCTATTGTTCAGTTTCTGTGCAGCTCAACACTGGGGGGAACCGATGTAAGTTTCAGCTCAGAGAAATGCGTCGTCTGGTAGAGTTGAGCTGCCACATGACATCACAAGGCTGCACCTGCCATACGTACACTGGCACCCCCACCGCCTTTGAATCCCTTATCACAATCTGTTACAACACAGAATATTTGTTAGAGTACAACTGCATTTAAAGAGAGACCAACATTGATGATTAACTGTAGATATCCATGGTAGTAACAGGTGATGAATCCTATAACTTATGAACATTTTAATGAAAAGAGTTATTTCTTTAAATAAAAAGATTGTTACACCGTTTAAAGTTGTGTGGTATGTTGAGGCAGCAGCTGTAAAAACAAGTGACACACACGTCTTATTGTTGTAATGACTGTGGACTCCTGAGAGCGGGTCAGGTCAGATGAGGTTCTGCGGAAATGGAACAACATTCATATCCGTACCTTGGCCCTGCTTGGACTCTCTCAGCTCCCTGTTGATACGAAGTGGCACTTTGCTGAGTTCACTCTGTCCTTCTGGGCACATGTGAGTTATCATGAAGTGGACTTCATAAGCAGTAAACGTGTAGAGTTTTTCTGAGGTTGGTTGAGCATTCCCATTATGGATGGAGGGAAAAATATAAAAGCAAGGCTGGGAGAAGTGTTGCAGCAGAGCGGCGGTGAACTGCACACACACTGATAGTGAAACCAATTTCTACAAAGGTGCGCAGTAGGAACAAATTAGCATTTTCTTTCCTTTAGGTGTTTACACAGTGATATGACTTGTCACAGCATGATCACAACCGTTGGATCAAATAATTGCAGTTTGGAGACAGTCTACGAAGGCTGAACAAAGACTTGGATAAAACTTTGTTCTGCTGCTTTTGCACAGTCCAGAGATTCCTACTGTGTACGTATTTATTTTTAATGAGGAGATCCTCATCTCTTCACTCCTTGATCACTGCAATAGCATAAATCTTGAGGTAGTTTTGCGCATTGAGTCCAGAATGCAGATTTTCTTCTCCCTGACTTTGATATACCAGTCACGGTTCATGAGCATCTTATTTCACTGATAATTAATCCTTTGAGACAAACCCAACGTGTTTTACAGTAGTTCTGTGGAAAGTTTGGGTGCTGTCCAAAATGCTAATTTATTTTTTTCACTACAGGGCAGTTTTAACATCATGCTGGAATAAATTTGTTTAGATAACAGAGGCATGTAAACATATTTAAATAATATACACACCATAGTGTATTAAACATTGGACCAGTGCTTCAAGTATACAGTAAAGGCACTTTTAGGTATAACCCTTCAATGAACCAGGGCTTCTTTGTAACGTGTGGTGCATAGCAGTACTTTGTTCAGGCCATTCATAATTCAAAATGGTTAGAGGTTTTTGTGGAATGTACTAATCCTGTTAGATGGGTAGAGCTTTCACGTTACAATCCTCTTCTGTGGCCATCAGATGTGGATTGCGACCCAACACATCCTGGACACAAGGAGCCAAAATGGCCTCTCTATGACGGATGGCCAGGTTCAGCTTTAGGCCTGATTCACACAGCAAGATAATTATGCTGATCTTTGACCTGATTCTCCCCTTCCAACAATCTGAAGGATACCAAGCATTTTCTTCACCAGGAACTACTGGGATTTTTCCAAATTTCCAGCTGTATTCATGGTAAATCTGAAGGCTATGTAGGCCTTGTCATATTTTGTCATATGCTGGCTTTCATAACTAGGTCCAGCTCGATGCACTGTGTGTTTACAGGCTGCTTCTTTTGCTGCTGCCACTTATTGACTGGAGGCTGGTGTAGTAGCAGGCCGCCATCTTGGATCGGTCCCCATTATTTATTCCATTATCGTGCATCTCTGGGTGGCTGCATGTTGGAGTAGCTCTGTTAACTAAATGTAAGTTTTGCCTTTTTGGACAGTTTTTTCTTCTAGCGTCTTAAGAAAAACTGTATTTTTTTGGACCTTTTACTTTTCTGTTTCTGGTGCTGTGAAGCGTAGAGGATTTTTACTGCAAATGTTTTCACTTTTTTCACTTTTTGAGCATTTGTTATGATGCGTAATCATGGCAACAAGCTGGTTTACAATCGGGAACAGCTGATTAACATTGGAAAGGCTGAAATAATACCTCAACTGAAG